AGCGATTTTCACCAAAACTGGATTAGCTGGAAATTCCTTCCTTTGCGGTTTGAGACGCGAGCTGTATTTGGATTGTTTTATATTATCCCCCCCCCCCCACCACGTCCCTACTCCCCCCATCCCTCTCTCGTATATATGTTATCGCTCCTTAAGCGCACGCTTCCCCGAATGTACACGGGTCCCGCAGTGAGGCTCCGAGGGAGAAATGGAATAGAAAATTGTCCCATGGCGACGGTCGAGCGAGAAGGAGAGGGTGGGTGGGTGGGGGGGAGAGGGTGGGTGGGTGGGGTGGGGGGGAGAGGGTGGGTGGGTGGGTGGGTGGGGGGGAGAGGGTGGTGGGTGGGTGGGTGGGTGGGGGGGAGGAGGGTGGGTGGGTGGGTGGGTGGGTGGGTGGGTGGGGGGTGGGTGGGGGGAGAGGGTGGGTGGGTGGGTGGGGGGGATGGAGGGTGGGTGGGTGGGTGGGTGGGGGGGAGAGGGTGGGTGGTGGGGTAGGGGGAGAGGGTGGTGTGGGTGGTGGGTGGGTGGGGGAGGAGGGTGGGTGGGTGGGTGGGTGGGGGGGGGGAGAGGGTGGGTGGGGTGGGTGGGGGGGGAGAGGGTGGGTGGGTGGGTGGGGGGCGAGAGGGTGGGGGGTGGGTGGGTGGGGGGAGAGGGGCGGGGTGGGTGGGTGGGGGGGAGAGGGTGGGTGGGGTGGGTGGGTGGGGGGGGAGAGGGTGGGTGGGTGGGTGGGTGGGAGAGGGTGGGTGGGTGGGTGGGGGGGAGAGGGGTGGGGGTGGGTGGGGGGGAGGTGGGTGGGGGGGGGAGCGAGGGTGGGTGGGGGGGGTGGGTGGTGGGGGGGAGAGGGTGGGTGGGTGGGTGGTGGGGGGAGAGGGTGGTGGGTGGGGGTGGGGGGGAGAGGGTGGGTGGGTGGGTGGGTGGGGGGGGAGAGGGTGGGTGGGTGGGTGGGTGGGGGGGAGAGGGTGGGTGGGTGGTTGGGGTGGGGGGGAGAGGGTGGGGGTGGTGGGTGGGAGGGGAGAGGGTGGGTGGGGTGGGGTGGGTGGGGAGAGGGTGGGTGGGTGGGTGGGTGGGGGGGAGAGGGTGGGTGGGTGGGGAGAGGGTGGGTGGGTGGGTGGGTGGGGGGGGAGAGGGTGGGTGGTGGGTGGGTGGGGGGAGAGGGTGGGTGGGTGGGTGGGTGGGGGGGAGAGGGTGGGTGGGTGGGTGGGTGGGGGGGAGAGGGTGGGGGGTGGGTGGGGGGGGAGAGGGTGGTGGGTGGGTGGGTGGGGGGGACGAGGGTGGGTGGGTGGGTGGGTGGGAGGGGTGGGTGGAGAGGGTGGGGGGGGGAGAGGGGGGTGGGTGGGTGGGGGGGGGGGGGGGGTGGGGGGGGAGAGGGTGGGTGGGTGGGGGGGGGAGAGGGTGGGTGGATGGGTGGGTGGGGGGGGAGAGGGTGGGTGGATGGGTGGGTGGGGGGGGGAGAGGGTGGGTGGGTGGGTGGGTGGGGGGGGAGAGGGTGGGTGGGTGGGTGGGTGGGGGGGGAGAGGGTGGGTGGGTGGGTGGGGGGGGAGAGGGTGGGTGGGTGGGTGGGGGGGGGAGAGGGTGGGTGGGTGGGTGGGGGGGGAGAGGGTGGGTGGGTGGGTGGGGGGGGGAGAGGGTGGGTGGGTGGGTGGGGGGGAGGGTGGGTGGGGGGGGGGGAGGGTGGGTGGGTGGGTGGGTGGGGGGGGAGAGGGTGGGTGGGGGGGGGAGAGGGTGGGTGGGGGGGGGAGAGGGTGGGTGGGTGGGTGGGTGGGGGGGGGGGAGAGGGAGGGTGGGTGGGTGGGTGGGGGGGGGAAGAGGGTGGGTGGGTAGGTGGGGGGAGGAGAGGGTGGGTGGGTGGGTGGGGGGGGGAGAGGGTGGGTGGGTGGGTGGGGGGGGGGAGGGTGGGTGGGTGGGGGGGGAGGGTGGGGGGAGATGGTGGGGGGAGGGGAGATGGTGGGGGGAGAAGGTGGGGGGAGGGGAGATGGTGAGGGGAGATGGTGGGGGGAGATGGTGGGGGGAGATGGTGGGGGGAGATGGTGGGGGGAGGTGGGGGGAGATGGTGGGGGGAAGTGGGGGGAGATGGTGGGGAGAGGTGGGGGGAGATGGTGGGGGGAGTTGGTGGGGGGAGGTGAGGGGAGATGGTGGGGGGAGGTGGGGGGGGGGTAGGCGAGGTGAGGGGGTGTGGGAGCAGGGTGATAATGCGGTGTTATTTTTTTGTACTTAGAAATTGACGCATTCGTCAATACCACTGTGTGCGCGCCGGCCAACATAATAGGCGACGTTTCGGGCAATGGCCCTTCATAGCACATACATGCTGCGCTTTGAATGTAATAATGTTTCTTTCAAGGCAGCGTCATTGACGAACGTGCTGAGATTATTTGCGACGTAAATAACGTGGCTATGAAGAAGGGCAATTGCCTGGACCGTACAACAGCACACCTGTAGACTAGATCACGTGTTTAAAGTTATAGCAACACACCTATTCACCTGTACAGCAGCAGCAGCACACCTGTTCACCCGTCACAGTTGACAGCCCTTTGTCTACCCACTGCTGGATGAAATCCGCCTCCACCCCCCGTAACCACGCACACCGCAGGGCAGCGGAGCGCGGTCTCGGCTCTGTGAGCGAGCGAGTGAGTGATCCCACCCCCCCCTAGGGATGGATGGGAGGGGGGGCTGGGAGGGGGGGGGGGCTGGGGGGAGGGGTGCTACCGATGGGCATTTAAACGGCCTCGTCTGTTGTGGATGCAGAAAATCCATAGAGAGAGAGAGAGGAAGGGAGCGGGAATTTCTCATTGCGAGTCCGGCTGCCGCGGATGCTTAAGCGAGACCCACGGGCCGCATCTATTGACACGAGCAGGACATCACTCGCCTCTGCGTCCAGTCGCAGGTTTAGCGAACGACCCCGAGGGAATGGAATGAACGATGCGCGGAGCGGCGGGCGGTGGTGCCATCGGCCACTGCCGTGACCACCACCATCACAACCGCCATCATCAGCTCCACCGTGACGATTACCAGCACACCACCATCATCCACTCATCATCCACACTGCAGGTCACAGCGACTCGCTCACCAACCCACCCAAGCACGCGTTCGCTCACCCACTCATTCACCTACTCATTCGCCTACTTACTCATCCACTCACCCATTAATTCACCTACTCAATCACTTATCCTATCACTCCACCCACCCACTCAAGCATGCGCACACCCACTCGTTCACCTACTCAATCACTCATCCTATCACTCACTCACCCACTCACCCATTCATTTACCTACTCAATCACTCATCCTATCACTCACTCACCTACTCACCCATTCATTCACCTACTCAATCACTCATTCTATCACTCACTCACCTACTCACCTATTCATTCACCTACTCAATCACTCATTCTATCACTCACTCACCCACTTACCCATTCATTCACCGACTCAATCACTCATCCTATCACTCACTCACTCACCCATTCATTCACCGACTCAATCACTCATCCGATCACTCACTCACCCACTCACCCATTCATTCAGCCTACTCAATAACTCATCCTATCACTCACTCACTCACCCACTCACCCATTCATTCACCTACTCAATCACTCATCCTATCACTCACTCACCCATTCATTCACCTACCCAATCACTAATCCTATCACTCACTTACCCATGCATTCACCGATTCGCTCAACCCCCTCCGTCGCTCAACCACTCTGTCACTCACCCGCCCACTCACCCGCCTGCTCACCACATTCTTCGTCCCTCGCACCGCTCCACTTTGGAATTCTCTCTCCCATCGTTTCCTCTCCAAAACCCTTACAACAATAACCTCGTCCAGTTCTAGACGCGTGCTACACTCCTTACACATATTACGACTGCGACGGTGTGCTGCTTGTTACTGGCCGTTTGAGGTTTCCTTTTCAGGCCTTCAGGCCCTGCGCTCAGTAACTGTGCAAAAAATACTGTACTATCAATCACCATAACAACCATGATCGCGACCATCATCGATACCATCATCGATACCATCATCACTACCATCACAACTGCGATCACCCTTCCAACCCCAGTACCTTCACCACGACCACGGCTACCACCGCTCACCTCTTCACAGACCTCACATTTAGGGCTAAGTTGACCGAGGAGCAGGTCTGTCCATACGTGGGCCCCCCGGCGCCTTCAAACTAAACCGTGACATCGAAGCGCGCCCTCCCCCCCCCCCAAAACGCGGGGCCCGGGGCAGTTTGCACCGATTCGCCATACCCCAAGGGTCGGCTCTGCCTAGGAAAGACCATCCCTGGGTACGGAGATCCGACTCACTCCCGTGTCCGCTCGCTCGCTCGCTCGCTCGCACCCTCGATCGCTCGCTCGCTCCCAATGCAGCAGCACAGGTGTCTCCTCATCTATCTCGCGACCGCATCGGGGGGCTACAGTGACCACACCTTTGTCCAGGTAGCACCACTTCTGTTGGGGTCCCCAACGAGTGATGTCATCGGTTTCCATGGTCATCATAGAATGACCGATACCTTTGTCTCGGTGAACGCGCCTGTGTTTGAGGGTCATCACAGCGTGACCGCACCTGCATCAGAATAATGAGCACACCTTTGTCCAGGTGACCTCTAACCTGTATTAGGGCTATCATCACCACGGGCGTAACCTCACCTGTACTAATGGTCATCACAGCGTGACCTTACCTGCATCAGAGTCATGGCCAAACCTTTGTCTAGGTGACCTCTAACCTCTGTTTTCGGGCCATCATCATCACCACCGCGTGACCTCGCCTGTACCAATGGTCATCACAGCGTGACCTTACCTGCATCAGTCATGGCCAAACCTTTGTCTAGGTGACCTCTAACCTCTGTTTCCGGGCCATCATCACCACCGCGTGACCTCGCCTGTACCAATGATCATCACAGCGTGACCGACACCCTGTGTCCAGGTGAGCACAGCTGTCTCAGGGGTCGTCGTGGTCGTGAGGGTTCCCAACCCACACCAGGTGAGCTCCATGTTCTGTCTCACCTGTGCTCCTCCGAGTACTGGAAGACGTCAGAGCCGTTCCGGAGCCAGCGGTACTGCATGGGGAGACTCCCGTCGGCCAGGCACGTGAGCACCAATCGGTTCCCCTCCAGTTGCGTCTGCGTGCGGGGGGCATCTCGGCGAAACGAGGGGGGGCCTTCATCTGTTGGGGGATGGGTGGAGGAGTGGAAGGGGGAGGGGTGGGCGGGGGGGAGGGGCAGAGGTGTGGGCGGAGCGTTAGAGTGATAGGGATGATTGACAGGTCCCATGATGTAGATGATTGACAGGTTGAGAGAGGTTGAGGCGCTGGCGGGTGCCGGGTTGTGTGTGCGGTGGCTACGCTGCACACAACACAGCGACACAGCGCACCACACACAACACAGCGACACGCCAGACCACCAGAGATCGACAGAGCAGTGGCAGGAGGGGGTCACGGGCGAGAGATTTATGATGAAAGACTTACAGCGCGAGGTCACGGTTAAATAAAGAATAATAATGGCACGAGGTCAAAGCGAGATGTCACGCTAGAGGTCACGCTAGAGGTCACGGAGGTGGGACGGGGGTCTCGCGGCGGCATGAAACGTCTCGTACGGCTCCGTGCACACCCATTGGCGACGCGAGATGATCACAGCAGGGCGGGATGTGTGTGTGGGGGGCGGGGGGGTTGCACGCGCACGTTCAGAGACACAAACACACGAAAGACAAAGATACCCCGTGTAGTCTCAGCAGATCGTCGGCGGGGAAAGTTCCGACAAAGACAAAGATCCCCCGTATAACCTTCACATACTGTAGGGGCAAGTGCTGTTAGCGAGCACCTATGAAGGCTGGAACGGTACGCGAGAGGGTGGCTGACCAGTACCACGGTCGACCGCCTTTGTCTCCCCAGTGGAGATTTTTACACAGCGCACTGGGAAGGCCCAACACAGGCTCAGATAATCGTCACTGATGTTGGTGGCCATGGGCGAGTATCCAACTCGGCTGAACCGGGTTCGTAGTGCGGTGTGCTAAACACTGCGCCACCGCTCTCATAGTGCAGCCACTGCTACACACATACAGACCCACGCACGCATTTACAAATCGCTCAGAATCTCGCTCACACACACACGCACGAACGCACAGGCACACCGACACCATCTGTGTTAAGAGGTTTGTTCTATTGAATAAACAAATTCCCTGCGCCTTCTCTGGAGCAGCTAAATCTCCAAAATGTCACATCGTAACAAAAAAAACACACAAGCACATTAACTAAACAAAACTCCTCGAAATAAATACACTCATACATAATAGATATTAACCACGGAGTAGAGCCACTGCGTAGTAGTTAGCGCCTATGACCCCCCTGTCGCACTGAGTTGATTTACGGGCACGGCGAACACCAAGTGGCCGACTGATCTCCAGCACTGGTCCTGCATCGTCATTCACGCACGGACCACCAATGTGGTGAAGTATGGCCCAACAACCTCCACCTTGGAGGGGGGGGGGTCAGATTCGTTTTTGACGACAGGTCACTTCCATAAGACGTTTCGAGATGGATGCGGATCTGAACGCGAAGCTGCCGCGACTGAGCGGTCCTGGCGAGGCCGCCACATTTACTGACGGCCGACGGAGCGTTCCTGACCTGTCGGACAGAATGACGGAGAGAATCGATGCACCCCGCCAACTCAACCCAGAGCAACTGGGGTTGGGGGAGCATGTAGGTACAGAGACCAACACCGCGTGGAACAGAGATGCACACACCACGTGACACCAACATGCCGACACCACGTGGGACAGAGATCCACACACCACGTGACACCAACATGCCTACACCACGTGGAACAGAGAGCCACACACCACGTGACACCAACATGCCTACACGACGTGGTACGGAGATGCACACCACGTGATGCGGAGATACAAAACCACGTGGTACGGAGATGCACACACCACGTGATATGGAGATACAAAACCACGTGGTACGGAGATGCACACACCACGTGATATGGAGATACAAAACCACGTGGTACGGAGATGTACGCCACGCCGCTCCCCACGCCGCTCTTCAGCCGTGACGAACAGAGGAGATTGTGAATAATACATCCCAACGGCTCTCTGGGAAAATAATCAAAATCCAATTTGCGTGGCTTTTTCCCCGCAGAGAGGCGGTGGTGATCGGCCGAGGCCTCAAGCGAGGACCCAGAATTCATCAGCTCGTCCTCCTCCCTCCCACCTCCACCACCGTTTCTCCCCCCCCCCCCACACCCTTTACCATCACCACCACAATTAGTACGACCACCTATACCACCATCGGTACCACCAATATCACCACTACCCGCACGACAATCATGACCATCGTCTTCATCAACAACGCCGCCAAATCCACCACCATCACTACCACCACTGTTAACGATACGTTACACCACAATCATTACCGCCGCCACTGCCAACAACTGCAACTTGGTGGCCATGCGCCACTAAGTTTGCGGTGAAGTCACCACGGCGGGTGTGCCAGGCCAGGTGCACTCCGAGGCCACGTGGAGTGCCCAAGGCTCGCTGCTGGGACAGACCCAGGTGCCACGGGCTTGACTGGAACGCGATGATTGGAACCGAGGCACCAGCTGCGTGCTCCCAACTCTGCCAACTTGCCGCGCTTGAGCCACCCGGCGTCTCCGCTCGTCGCCTTGAGCGCGCCGCTCCCCTGCAAGCACGAACTCTGACATTGCAGTGGAAATCGCGAACGGATAGGGTGGAGTGGCACCCCCCCCTACCCACGACTCAACTTGACCCCCGGATCCGTGAGGTCCAAACGCCTCCTCTCTCGCGTAGGAAAAACAAGCGCAAAAGGGCGGCGTACCGGGGCGAGCTTAAATCGGTATGCGGGGCGCAACGAATGCGCTCGGCGTGTTTAGGCCGATGTAATGATTTTTTTTGACATTCAATTTTTTTTCAAGTCTGTCAGGAATTGACAAAACTGTTGACACGTGGCCGACTGCCGCTGAGCGATGGCGATGGCGGCAGTGGTGGTGGTGACAAAGAGGAGCGCGCGTTGATTCGCAGAGACACGCACGCACACACACAGGCACGCACACACATACAGGCACACACACAGGCACGCGCGTGTGTGTGTGCGTGTGCGTGTCGATCAGCGGTAGTGTAGCGGTTAGCGCTACGAACCCGGCGAACCGGGACCGATTCCCGCTCACGGCCAACACCCAGTGACGATTATCTGAACCGATCCTGGGCCTCCCCTAGGTCGACTCAGCCTCAAACGAGTACCTGGTGAGGTGTGTAAAAATATCGCCACTGGGGAGACAAATGCGGCCGGGCGTGGTATTGGCCACCTACCCCTCGTGTGCCGTGCCGGCCTTCATAGGGGTTTGCTAACAGCACTTGCCCCAATAGTCTGTTAAGGCTATACGGGGGATCTTTGTCTTTGTCGATCGGCGGACAAAGACGGAGGGAAAATCAGGCAAAGTGCAACTTTGCCTTTCGACCCGAGCGACCAGCCAATTTAAACAACAACAACAAACAATAACAATAATAACAACATGCAGACAAAGTTTTGTTTAAAGTTACAATAAAGTTCACGACACAGGCGCGTCGACGGAGTTTTCTTCCATACACAGAAGCATTAAAACATCACAGGAGCATCACAACATCACAGTGGCATCGCTACTGGAGGGTGGGGGGGGCAGTGGGGGGCGGGTGAGAAGTGGGGGGCTCTGTGTGCTGTCTTGGTGTGGTCTGGGACTGTGTTGTTGTTCTGTATGTGTGTGGGACTTATTTCGCACCGTACGTATCCAACCGTGCTAATCGGAGGTGCCTGCCTTGCCCAAGCTCGCGTTTAGTGTTAAAAAAACACAATGCAATTTGCACGTGTACAGTATACTTTATCTATGTTGCAGATGATGGCGGTGGTGATGATGATGATGGTGTTGAGGATGTTGTTGGTGGTGTTGATGATGTTGGTGGTGGTGGTGTTGATGATGTTGGTGGTGTTGATGATGTTGGTGGTGTTGTTGATGATGTTGGTGGTGGTGTTGATGATGATGTTGGTGGTGTTGTTGATGATGATGATGATGTTATTGATGATGATGTTGGTGGTGTTGTTGATGATGATGATTGTGGTTTTAATGATGCTGTTGGTGATGATGATGATGTTGTTGGTGGTGTTAATGATGATGTTGGTGCTGTTGAAGTGCTGCAACATTTTATGTTTTACGAGCGGCCATGTAGGAGAGGGAATAAGCGGTAAAAAAATTAATGCCAACAAAAAAACAAAAAATCCTTCATTGAAATTAATTGCTATTTATTTGCAATGCATTTCTGCAGAAATTAATGCGTGCAATTAAGTGTGCCTGGCTGAAGCATAATATGCAAATGAGCGCTAACACATTGAACACGGGGGGGCGAGGGGAGGGTGCGGAGGGGCGTGAGTGGGGGTGAGGGGGGGGCTTAGAGACAGTGACACCGATCGCTGTGCCAATCGGCGCGTGGTGACACCACGTGGTACCTTGAGGTGTGACCACGTGGTACCCTGAAGTATCACCACGTGTTGCCACTGCGTGCCACCCAGAGTGTGACTGTGCATCGATGATCGCGTCGCTCGCCGGCTGTGGATATGCGTGCCACTGAGGTTGCCAGTGAGTGGACACTGCAACTCCTCGGTTTCCAGAGTGTCACAGGAGATATTAACCGTAAAGGCTGAACAGAACTGTTTTGGGCAAGTGCTGTTAGCGAGCACCTTTGAAGGCCGGAACGGTACACGATGGGGTTGGTGGCCAGCACCACGCCTGACCGCCTTTGTCTCCCCAGTGGCGATGTTTATACACCGCGCCAGGTACTCATTTCAGGCTGAGTCGACCTAGGGGAGGCCTAGGACCGGTTCAGATAATCGTCACTGGTGTTGGCCGTGAGCAGGAATCGAACCCGGATCGCCGGTTTCATAGCGCAGCGCGATTACCGCTATACTACCGCTCCCCACACACACGCACACACAGGCATAGACATCATCTGACACCCACGGTATCGCCTAACATCGCTGTTGGAGCAAGCACTCTTCTCGAGCTCGTCTTCAGACCGCCACTGCCCACGTGGTGTCGGTGTGGCCAGCACCGCGCCCTTAACTGATGTTCACACCTCGGCACCAGGCCACCGAGGGCTCAGTCGATCACCAGGGGAAGC